ATTTGATAATTTTATTTAGATTAATTTAGGTTAATTAGTTTACCAAAAAAAAATTCCTTTGAATCATATATATCCGAAGTGTCAAATTTAGTACTCATCCCTAAGTTTAAAAGTCTCAATCCCTAAGGAGACGATAATCCAAAATACTTTTGATATTTTTACTTTTATGACTTGTATACTTGTAGTACTCCTAATGGGTAGCAACAATATTCCTTAAAGGTTTATTACACTTCTTCTTTATGTTTTGCAATGACTGTCTATATGAAGCCATATCTGTAATATGTTTGAATTGAGTAATGAATGCTCTGGGCAAATCTTTCCATGAATGTATATAGCTCTTATCCAATTGAATGTAATAAATCAATAGTTTGTTGTTGTCTAAGTGCCTAGTCATTTTTCAACAAAACATGGTGATATATGCCATAGGGTATCTAATCCCATCATACTTTTTAAATTTAGACACTTTAAACTTTGGTGGGTTACCAAATCTAGAAGCAAACTAAGTTCACTTGCGTTAATAGTGTTAAAAACATTCACACCCTCAATAGCTCATAGCCTTTCTTTTAAAATATCAAGTTTTTGTTGTGCTTTCATACTCTCAGAATGTTTAGATGTGCTTTTTTTTAGTTTTTCTTATTCTCTTGGATCATCTAAATCTTGGATCATGATAGGATTAATATGACTTGCCCTAATGTTGAGCCTAACATGTCCTTGACTTCATGGTTGACTTGTAAATGAGGGTAATTTTAATTGAGCACATGGTTGTCTTTCAAACTGCATCATTTGTAGATACAATTGATGAAAAGCTTTAGCATAGGGTGGGGTGAACCTTGGTGGATATAATGGAGCTTCCTTGTCGCAAGTGTTTTCTTGAGCTTTAGGCTTTTTTTTTATGGTCAATTCTTCAGCTACTCCCTTTTCTTTGCTATTTTCCTTATCATATCCATCACACAGCTCTGTTATTTCCATTCTAGATGTTTGCTCATTTTTCATGATTCTAACTTATGAACAATAGTTGTAACAACAATAAGTGAGTTATTTTATATTTTCTAATGGCCTAGCTATCCTTACACCAAACAAGTTAAAGGAAACTTTTGAGATCTTTTATTTTGAGGCCTCTTTCTTTTGTTATTTCCAAAATCCCATGACGCATTTTTATCTAAATTTTAACATAAAATGGAACACACGTACGATGCATGAATGCATAAATGCAAAAAATGTTTATGATAATGCATGATCATGAAACAAAAGGAAAACAAGACAAATTATTGTTAGCAATCAAATTAAAATAAATATTCTCATGTGTCCTAATTTAGGGTATGATTTACAAAAATGGAATAACTTTATCTAAAGTTGGTTTTTTAAGGTTCACTATATGTAGGGTTTAGAATTTAATGAAGGCTAAAAGGTTCTCAAATTTATTCTTAATGTTGTCTACTCTAGATTATTAAAGTCCCTGATCCTCACCTATAACGGGCTACCAACAAAAAGGGTTTAACTTGAGTGAAAGTATTTCATTAGCCTAAGTGGAGGCATAATAACCTCACAAAAGTGCAGACACTTTACCCCCTCTTAAAGGGACAAATTTGGGAACCTATGTATAGATCTCGTACATGAATGCAAATATTTACATGTGTGAGGAACGTAACAATCATTAAACAAAATAACATAAGTAATAGTAAAAATACCAAAAACTAAATAAAGCCATCACATTTAAAAAAAACATTAAAAGTTTATTTAATTTCAAATTTTTTTAAAAAATGGGAATTAAAACTAAATGTCGAAAAAACCATAAAATCAATGTTTTGAGAACACATATTTAATTTTTGGCCTACCTCTCTCTAATTTCTCTAGTAGAGTTGCCAAGCTATCATAATAATTTTTCATCAAAGAAAACTCAAGCAGTAGACTTGAAGAAAATTTACGAAGTCACTACCAATCTTTTTTTAAGTAGCTGTGATTGGCCACCTAAAATATAATCTTTTAATAAAAATCTTAATATTAATTAAGATTTGCTAAAAGATATTTTGATCTACAAAATCAAGATTGAATCCAACAGTATGATTATGAGTGAGGAAGATATTAGCACCCTCACATCATCAATTTGAAGAACGATACAAATTAAACACATTTTATCTTTTAATTTTGATAGTATAGTTTTTTTTTATATTTAAAATTAATTTTCTAAAAATTTATTCATGGGAAAAGTATTTTTTTTTATAAAATTTACTATTTATGCACTTTATAAATTCTCTAACACTTTGGTAAAATTTATAAAAAATATCTTTATTCAAAAAAAATTTAAAAGAAATTAACCATTCACAAAATTTTGAAGATTTTGTCATGAGATATTTTGTATTCACAAATTACATGTATAATTTATATTATTATAAACTAATTATAAATATTTTATTATTATTTAATGATTATTCAAATAAAATTTTTTATTTGTAAAATTGTTTTAAGATTATCCTAATTCTTTGATGAAATCCCGAAAAATAACTTTTTCTTCATAATAATTAAGAAAAATAAAACTCTTCTAATTGTCCTTAAAATTTCTGCTCAAAATATTTTTTCAAATAAGCATTATTTATTTATTTATTTATTTTGGTTTTTTAAATAAATTTTTATGTAATAAAAATAATTTTAGATTATCCCATCTCATTGGCAAAATCTATAAATATTTTTACTTGCACTAATTAATTAAAAAAATTGCTCTTTCAATTTTTTTAAAAAAATTACATTTCAAAAGATTTATCTAAATAATCCATTATTCTAATTCATTTATTATTTGTTAAATTTTATCCTAGCAAAATGATTCATTGAATAATCCCAACACTTTGGTGAAATTTAAAAAATATTTTGCTTGTAATAATTTTTAAAACAAAATTTTAATTTTTCTTAATAATTATCTTTAAAAATTTATTCTTTTTTTTTTTCTAAATTTTACTAAACCTATTGTTTATTTCAATTTTATATTTTTATTATTACTTATTTCTTCAAAAAATGAATGAATAATAAAAATAATAAAAACATAAAATAAAAAACATAATAAGCAAAAAAAGAAAAAAGAAGAAAGAAAACTTACTAAATGGGTTGAGTTAGCATGCGTGTTTTGTGGTCGAGCGTGGATCTTGGCGTCTAAAACGACATTGTTTTGGATGCCTATTTAAAGACTTAAAATCAGTTTTGATTTTTTTCTTTTTTTTCTCTTTTTACTTCCCAAGCCTTCTCTTTCTAAAACCTAGCCCCCCTAGTTGGTCACCACGTAATCTTGGTTTTCAGTCAATTACGGCTATTTCATAGCCAAAAAGTTTAACTTGTGCCAAAAAATTTAAGGATTTTTCAAAACTCAATCGTTTTCTAGATTTCGATGGCCAAAAAATTTAACCAACCCTTGAAAAATTAGAAAAAAAAACCTCAAATTTCAACGACCTTAAAAAGTTTTCAAAAATTCTAAAAAAATCCCAAAATGCTCCATTTGATCTCCTATGCACTTTTCTTAAACTAGTTTTTCAAGAAAAAAAAAATCCTAAATGGCCTAAATCAAAATTTTGTTTTTGGCTTGAATTTTTTTTTTTTTGTTGCTACTGGTTCCTAGAAAAAGGCTGTATGGTTTGGCAAAATGGCAGTGGTTTTTCTTTTTTAATTACCTTTTGTCTTTGTTTTGCCTATTCCTTCTTCTATCAATTACTACCTTAGGGTTCAATTTTGTAGAACTAAGGTAGATTTCATAACCCATAAAAACCACAGATTCAAGAGGACTTTTGAGGAGTAGTTGGAGAATTTTGGGCACCAATGAAGAATTTTGGCTTTTGACTTTTGTTGCCAAATTTGGTCTATGGCAAAATGGCTAGTGGCGGTTGGCATTCGATACGCTTAATGTACATGGACTTTAAGGACGGGAGGAAAAAATGAAAAAGAAAATAGAAAAATATAATAATAATAATAATGATGATGATGATAAAAATAAAAATTTAAAAGTTCTAGTACTAAAATGATTCGATAAACTTAATTAAGATGCTCGAACAAACCCGAATAAAATCAGAATTGGTTTGGATTTATTTTGAAACAACATTTCGTAGCCTGAACAAAATAGCTGTCTACAGTTACTATAACTCTTACAACCATAATTACAAAAATATCATCATACCATCATTAGATAAAATTACTATAATGTCTTTCCTACAATATTAAAATTATTCATTTTTTCTTAGAAAACTAAGTTGATCAGGTGATGATATTAGTAAGTTTTGATTTTATGGGTAAATGAGTTTGAATTTGATAATTGATTGATATTGATAACAGGTAAATATTATATCTGTAGGTTAAATTGTTATATATGTATTATTGAATTTTGATTTAATTTATTTAATTTTTTAAAGTAATCTCTCTTATTTAAAATAAAAGTCGAGTCCATTGAGTGGTATAATTTGAGTATCTTGTTTTACATTTTCTTAAAAGATTATATTTTTAAAAAAAATAAAAAATTAATAAAATAATAAAAAAGTATTTATTTTTATTATTAAATTAAAATTTTAAATAATTTATATTTTATCAAAATAAAAAATTTGTAGCTCGAGTGAAGCCAAATAGTTCTTTTAGTTTATATTAAATTTATAAATGGTTTATAAAAAATTATTTGACAATTAAATTTGAATATATATTTTTCAAACGAAATATTTGAATTTAACCTTAGTAATCAACTCTGATAATCTTGTGGTGAAAATTTTGCACATTCCAATTTTTCTACTGCCACACTTGAAACAGTGTGCCCTTTTACAAACAGAGATCTAACTCTCCACACTGTGCCTTTAGAAAGTTAAAAGTCGTGAATATTCCCAGTTGGCCCACTGCATTACTCGGTGTTCACATTGTTGATGGCGTAAAACAGAAAGTCTAAAGGAGTGGGTAATTTCTAGAAACCAGGAAATAAAACGTTTACAATTTGGTGGGAAAAAGGAACCAAGGTTATTTGTCCTATGTCAAAATCAAACTAACATTCAACGGAATTCCCGAAGGGGCAAGCAACTAACATTCAACAAGCTTTCGAAATCCGAATTCCCGAAGGTGCAAGTAAAAAATCCATCATGACAGGAGACTCCATCCTTTATTCCCAGCACCTCCTAGAACACCGGGAAACTCTTCCAACCACCACCGCTGCCACCGCCACCAAAAATTCCAAAAAGCTATCTATCATCCCCCTCATCTTCCTCATCTACTTCGAGGTTTCCGGTGGAGCATATGGTGAGGAGGCAGCGGTGGGTGCCGCTGGGCCCCTTTGGGCCATATCGGGCTTCCTTATTTTCCCTTTCGTATGGAGCATACCTGAGGCCTTGATCACAGCTGAGCTTGCCACTGCGTTCCCTGGTAACGGCGGCTACGTCATCTGGGCTCACCAGGCTTTTGGGCCATTCTGGGGTTCACTTATGGGTTCCTGGAAATTCCTCAGTGGGGTGATCAACCTAGCCTCATATCCAGTTCTTTGCGTCGACTATATCAAGTTAGTTATTCCACTTTTCTCTTCGGGGGTGCCTCGCTATGTTGCAATACTGTTTTCAACTTTTGTTTTGTCTTTCTTGAACTATACAGGTTTGGTTATAGTTGGTTACACTGCAGTCTGTTTAGGTGTCATTTCACTTCTACCATTCATATTATTAACTTTGATTTCAATTCCCAAGATTGAACCCAGTAGGTGGATTAGTTTGGGTCAGAAAGGAGTAGAAAAAGATTGGTCATTGTTTTTCAATACCCTTTTCTGGAACCTGAACTTCTGGGACAATGCCAGTACATTAGCAGGTGAAGTTGAGCAACCCCAAAAGACATTCCCCAAAGCCCTTTTCTCGGCTGGGTTGCTCACTTGTTTAGCTTACTTGGTACCTCTTTTAGCTGCTACCGGGGCAATACCATTAGAGCAAGAGAATTGGGTTGATGGGTATTTTGCTGATATAGCGGAAATCATTGCAGGAAAATGGTTAAAGATCTTTCTTGAAATTGGTGCAGTTTTATCAATTATTGGACTCTATGAAGCACAGTTGAGCAGTTGTGTATATCAGCTTCTAGGAATGGCTGATTTAGGATTTTTACCTCAATGTTTCTCTGTAAGATCAAAGTGGTTTAATACACCTTGGCTTGGAATTCTGGTCTCAACTTTGATAACTGCTGCAGCTTCATATATGAATTTTGCAGACTTAATTTCTTCTGCTAATTTCTTATATAGTTTAGGGATGTTACTAGAATTTGCATCATTCCTTTGGTTGAGGAGAAAATTGCCAACGATCAAAAGGCCGTTTAAAGTGCCAATGGAGTTGCCTGGTTTGATAGTAATGTGCTTGATTCCATCTGTGTTTTTGGTCTATGTTATGTCAGTGGCTACTGGAACTGTGTTTTTGGTGAGTTGTATACTAACTGCTTTTACCATTGTATGGTACTTTGTAATGAATTTCTGCAAATCCAAGAAGTGGATCGAGTTTAATAATGATGGGCAAAATTTGAAGGATGAGGATTTGGAGTAGAGTACTGATTATGACTTGTCTGCTGCTATTCCTTTTCATATGTGAAAATTAGTTTGAAAAATAATTGTATAAGAATATGATTAGATCTTTGTTGCTAAAAGTGAATTAATGTGAAATGAGATTGTTAAAAACTTAGTTGGTTTCATGAGATTGTGTATGTTCAGATAGAAATAAAATGTTTTAACTTGATGGTGAAGATTCAAACCGTAGATGTGATTGCCAGTTCTGGAGTCCCGTCGAAATCTATGGTCATCGAATGCAAATAACAAGTTATGTTGTTGCCAAGTAAAAGGTTTTCTTTTTACATAGCGGGTATCTCACTTTTTATTCAAGTGTTATATCTTTCATTGGTATAGCCGTTCAAAATTTTACTTCCACAATATTTTTCATAAATATCGATTTCATATCGAGGAAACTGACAAGAAAATAGAACTCTTCTCCAAATCATTTGAGCTAACTCTTGTGAGTCATCCGTATAAATTGAAAGTGCAGCAAAATACAACAAAATTACTTGTTAAGTACGCAAGCAAGAAATCTCCTCACCTAAATTTTTTCATGACAATGAGAGAAGAATAAATATATGGAGCGGGATGAATTAAAAGTACTCACCTACACGTGGACCATGTATGGTGGATATTTCGGCTTTCTTTAAGCCACTGGATCCCAAAGAATTTAAATTCGTGACGCATCAAAAAGCCGAGAACATGGAAGTCCATTATTTGCCTACATATTCGCTAAGAAGATAAAGTCAATGTTGTATATTTCAATTCGGTATCGATTGATATGATTTAGATATTTAAAGTTGATTTTTCATACTAAATTTTATATAAGATAATATTAATTATTTTCATTAATTTTGATTAATTTTAATTGTTTTCATTAGATTAATTTATTTTAATCTGTATGTAATATTAATTTATTTCAATTTGTATGCGAATATAGCATATATTTTATAATTTTAACTTATTTTTTGATATTTGATTATTTTAATTAAATAAAAATAAATTAACAGATAAAATAACCTTTAAAAATTAAAGTTTCGCTATTTTTTACTTTTCTTTTGCAATTTATTTTTTTAAACAAAAATTCATAAATGTTTTTATTCTTTTCAAGAAAATATTTGTACTCTCTTTTAAAAATTTTACAATTTTGAAGTTAAAATTTTTTTTCTTTTTGTTTTTATCTTAATAAATTTTTACATGAAAAAATGCTCATTTAAATATCATGTTATTAGATTAATTATTTAAAAGTATCATGATAAATTGATAATATTATTTTTTTATACTTTTAAACTTATTTATTTGATTTTTGAAGATATTATTTATTTATTTTTTAAATTATTAATAATCTTATTATGTACAAGTCCATATATATATTTATAAATATATTTGTTTTAATTAATTATAATATTATAATAAAAAATTATAAGTGATGCCATATATATTTATAAAAAAATATAAAAAATTATAAGTAATACCCCCCCCCCCCCCCCCCCCCGGGCGAGTAGGGCTAGCTTGCTTTGGCCATTCCAAAAGACAACCCGAAAGAAATGCAAAGGAAAGATTCAAGATTACAGTCAATAATAAAATGCTTTTAAATGTAATTAGAATGTAATTTATATAAACAAAAGTTATTTTCATTAAAATTTTAAATTAAAATAAAATCATTTAAAAAAGAATTATATCAGGCCTAGTTGGATATGGTTATATATATATATATATATTGGCTTGGTGACCACGGCATCATTTATGCAATTTTAGGGTTTCAATAAGTACCCTATTAGATGGATACCTTACGTTACATGATCTGATTAAATAGGATTAAATTATTTTATAATCGAATTCGAAATAATATTCTAATCATAAAATTATTATTTGTCATAAGTTTGGGCAGCAAAACTATTATTCGGAATGAGTTTGGGTATGGTAGTACTCTTAGGGTACCACTATTAAAACCCGGCTATAAATAATCATTTTTAATATTATATATATTATTTATAATTAATTAATTATTATTAATGTGATACTTAATTAAATTAATTTATTAAGATTATATTTGACATATAAAATTATAATAAGAGAGAATAAGATAATATTATGAATCGAATTAGATTAAATAATATTATTCTATTTTATGTTTGATATTTACAAAGATTAAAATAAGATAATTTATTTATTGATTAAAATTATCTTTTCTCAAAATTTTTATAATTTAAATTATTAATATAATTTTTAAGAGTATAATAAGACATATAAGTTTAATCTCATAAATTAAAAATAATATTCACCACTCTAACATGATTGAATTATCCTATATAAAAAAAATGATAATTTATCTTATAATTTTATTTATTTTAATTAGATATAAATCAAATATAATATAAAATAATTATCATATTATTTTCTCCATTATTTTATACACTAAACATGATTTAAGTGTTTTAATTATGATTTTTAACTTTAATTTATATTTTATGAGTTAATTTTCATTTATTAATTTAATTTTTTAATAATATTCTTAAAATAAATCTAAAATTTGAGTTTAAAAATCAAAATTTGATTTAATAAACGGATATTTATTGAGTTTGGATAATTAGTAAGTAATCTTTGTATTATTTAATTAGAGTTCAAATAATAAAAATAAAAAATATTTAAATATTTATTAATTGGAGATATTTTGATAAATAAACAAAATTGAGAATGAGTATCTTAAAATTAACGATAGTTATCCGTCACCTTTATATACGTAAGATTCACTCGTAAATTTAAAACTAATATTTTTGAATAATGATTAAAATTGTATTGAAAAATAAATGACGCAAAATAATAAAAGAAGCAGGACCCAAATACCAAGGCTCCATGCGTCTCCCGCGCGTAGAGATGGTATACATGCGTTTTGAGCTTACTTTTGCAACTCTACCGAGACAGATGACAGGAGACTTGGGCTTGGCATGGGCCTTTTACCCCTTAACAAGTTAGGCTTTGTTACAGTAAAGAAAACGATGACAACAATAATTATGCATTCAAATTTCGATATTTTTAATTAGAAGTTTAAGTTAAAGCCCATTAAACTTTGGTTTATTTGAGATTTTAAATTTAAGTTTTATTACGTGTAAATTTGACTTAATTTATATTGAATTTATCTAATTATATTTTAATTTATTAGTTGATTTGAACTTTGTATTTACAATTTCAAAAAAATTAAAAAAAAGAACTTACAAAACAAATCTAGTAGATTTATTCAAAATGAAAGAGTATTCAACAAATAATTGCTTTGCATTTGCAACGGTACTTCCATTTTTTTAAATTTTTATTATGTAAAAATGTAAATTACATGTGTACCATAAATATATAAATCTCTGATAAATTATGTCACGTGGACGATTGGGTGAATAATTTATATATTTAATACATAAAGTAATAAATAAAACTTTGGAACTAGACAAGTTCAAATAAAAACAAAATCTTTTAATTTTGAATTATCTAAATGAATAAAATAATTCCTTAATTTAGTTGTCTTTCAAATAATTTTATTCAATTAAATATTTAATTTTAAAATTTTTATATTTTAAAAAATTAAAATTTTTAAATTTATTCGAATCATTCAACTTATAAATATTTTATTCTAATTTAAATCACACATAAGCATCTCACAACTTACTGGTATCAATATATATATATATTAAATCCAAAATTCAAATAGATTTTAAAATTCAATAGTTTTCGTTTCAAACGTTGTGATTTACTAACTCTTTTTTATTTTTTTACTTTAACTGTTTGGCTCATCTTGATGATGGGTGTTAATTATCGGTTTGAAATTGTTTTAAATGTTGTGGAATTAGACATAACATTGGGAACTTTTTGCCTCAATTTTTCTCATTATCTATACTTATAATCTCTTTAACATCGATAACATAATATTAAAGCTATTCCAAATGCAAGAAATTGTTCCATTTGAAAAATTAGGGTTTAATTTTTAGTCAACTAAGATATGCCATAAATAATGACTTGGAGGTTAATTGGGGTATCTAATTCTACTATTTGGGAATGAATTTGGCTTTTAACTTTAAGATTTGGGGTTATTGATACATTTAACTATAGTTTTAGTCATATATAAAAAAATAATATATGCAAAATTCTTCTAACGCACTTATTAATTTAGTCGACAATACTGCATCTTTACGTGTCACTTGGCTTATCAAAAGCTTGACAAAGGGCGAGCTTTTTTAAAAAATCACCCTTTTTTGTTAACTCTACCTTTATTGAACTAGAATTTGGCCCCATTTCATAGGGTTAATTAATTTTTATTTTAGGTTTTTTTATTATTTATATAAAATATTGTTTTTAACTTAAAAATAACAATAAAATTTTTAATCTATTAAATATTATAAATATATTAAAATTAAAAAAATTTAATATGTTACTATTACATTTTTTTTTTGGGTTTTTGTGTTATGCTGTTGAAGTTTAAGTTTTATTATATTTTTAATATTTTAATATTTTATGTTTAATAATAAACATATTCAAACAAAAATAAATTTTGGATCCTCTCAACAATTTTCATGAGAAGCCATAATAATTTTTATTTAAGAAAATTTTTGGAAGAATGAAACTTTTAACTTTAAAAAAAAAATCCCTTTTAAGAAATACATTTTTAAATAATTATTTTTCATTATGTTTAATTTATATAATTAAAAATCATATTTTTCACTTTGTTAATTTAGGCTTTATCATATATATTTTTTCACTTTTCTAATTTAGGTCTTCTCTTATTTTCTATTTGGTTTGATTATATTTTATACGCTATTTTAATTTAGGCTTTTATTATATTGTTTATATGACTTTATTATATTTTTTATTTGGCTTTAAGGTTGGAAGCTCGATGTGCCAAATAGAAAATTTTTTTTTATTTTTTTTAATTTAGTCTTTATTATATTTTAAATATTTTAATATTTTATATTTAATAATAAACATATCTAAACAAAATAAATTTTGGATCATTTCTTCACTTTTCATGAGGATTTTCTTAATATTTTTAGATCTAAAATATATTTTTTATTTGGCACACTTCAACTTCTAACCCTAAAGTCTAAATTAAAAAGGTTCAACTTGAAATCCAACCCAAAATACTTATTAAAAATTCACTGCCCACAAATAAATCAATTATTCTAAAACTATTGTCTATAAAAACACCAAAAACCCACAGCTAAATACATAATCCACTTAAAATTTAAAAAAACTCAAATGTCATTACAAGTGTCCCTCCCTTAATCCCTTGGGGATTTTTTTACTATAAAGAGTATAGATAATGCCAGTTTTTTTTTTTTTTTTTGTTCCACAACAATTAAGTTAATTATTAAAATGCAAAAAATGAAAAAATAACAATAATATTATTTAACATTATTTTTTTTATTTTGACCTTTTTATTTTCCATATGGTTTTTTATTTCATTTTCTCATCCTTATTTATGTATAAAATTTGTACAAAATGCACATTTGTTAAACAATAATATAAGGAAAATTTTGTGTATGAATTATTAAATTTATCAAATTATTTTAAAAAGGGATAAGAATAAAAATGCGTAAAATAATTCATAGAATAAATTAAATTATTATTTTTTAATTAATCCTCAATTAATATTTTAAATAACTATCATGATTTGCTATTGCTATTATTTCTTTTTAATAGTATTGTTATTATTATTTATAATACTATTCAA